CCACCTGCTGCGCAAGCGCAAGGAGTTCGATTCCTCGGTACAAAAAAAAAAAAAAAAGTTATCTGGTTTGGGAAATACGCACACGTACACAGGTCCAAGAACCTAATAAAACCATTTATCTCTGGTGTAATACGGAGAGAAGTAAACAGTTATAAAATTGGAAGATTGTGAACTATAAATTTTAAAAATTTGGGGTTTTGCATCATGCAAATATATTACCTATTTTAAGAATATATATTTGTTGGGCTGGGGATTTAGCTCAGTGGTTTCAGTGCCTGCTGCGCAAGCACAAGGATCCAAGTTCGATCTCCGGTACCAAAAAAAAAAAAAAAAAAGAATATATATTTGTGCCTCTTTGAATACAAGCTGTTCTAGTGAATATGTAAATCAGCATGATATTCCCATAAGGCAATTTGGTGTTACGTATCAAGTCTTTAAAATAGCCCTCTTAACCAAGCATGGTGGCACAGGTCTATAATACCAACACTGTGGAAGGCTGAGGCAGGAGGACTGGAGGTGCTAGCCCACCCTGGGCAATGTAGCAACTCAGGGAGACACTATCTGAAAATAAAAAATGGGAAGAGCTGGGGGTGTAGCTCAGTGAAAAGGCCCTGCGTTCAATCTCCAATTACAAAAAAAAATTTTTTTGATCAGCAATTTCACAGGGTAAACTACTATAGCTGAATCATATATTCTATTATATGGAATATCATATAGCCATTAAAATTATTTTGTAGAAAAATTTAATGATATGTATAGATATTACTAATAGTGAATAAAAAAGTAATAAAGGCTTTCAGTGTATGATTTTTTTGAGGCAGGGTCTTGCTATGTTCAGGCTGACCTTAAGCTCACTATGTAGCCCAGGCTGGCCTCGAATTCACGGCAATCCCCCTGCCTCAGCCTCCTGGGTGCTGGGATTACAAGTGTGAGCCACTACAATTTTTTTTTTTGAAACAGGGTCTCACTATGTAGTTCAGGCTGGCCTTGAACTTAGAGTAATCCTGCTATTTTAGCCTCCCAAGTGCTCGGGATTACAGGCATGTACCACAACAGGCAGACAGTGTATAATTTTAAAACAAAATAAAGGCACAGGAAAAAAAAAGTTATCTATCAAATAATAACAATAGTTAGATAAGGAGTAGGATAGTTGGTCTTTTTATTTTTTTTCCATATTATATAAATTTCCTCCCAAAATATGTGCTACCTTATAAAGATAGCTTAGGAGCTGGGGATTTAGTTCAGTGGTTTCGCTGCCTGCTGCGCAAGTCCAAGGACCCAAGTTCAATCCCCAGTACCAAAAAAAAAAAAAAAGATAGCTTAAATTTTGTAAAATTTTTATTAGTATACGTTTGCAGTACACAATGATTACATTCATCATGGGGAGTTGATATGTATACATAATACATCTTAATTCTTTTTACGTCCCCTTACCCTCCATTTCTTGGTCCTAAAATTATTTAAACACTCATGAGACTAACATATTAACATTCCCTTTATTCCTTTTTTTTTTTCCAGTACTGTACTGGGAAATGAATCCAGGGTCTTTGCAATAAGCTACATCCCCACCCCTCCTAGCTTTTTTTCCTAGATAGGGTCTAAATTGTAGGCTCAGCTCAAATTTGTGATCTTTCTGCCTCAGCCACCTAGAGTGCTAGTTTTACAAATGTGGGCCACCACACTCAACTCCTTTATTCCTTCTTAATATAATTCACTGTGGAATTCACAGCTTTACTGTGGTTTAATGGGTCTGTCAGTCTGCTTGCCTATAGGATTGACTGAAAGGGGCAATATATTCTCATCTCTTCTGAAATCTTGAAGTCTAGCAGATACTTCTTATTAAGAACCTGGAATTAGCAGAAAGATAAATAAAGTTCCAGTTCTTTGCAGTGAAAAAATAATATAGGAGCTGGGCATGGTGGTACAAGCTTGTAATCCCAGTACTTGGGAGGCTGAGACAGGAGGATTGCCTCAAGTGCAAGGCCAACCTGGGCCACACAGTGAGTTCAAGGCCAACCTGATCCGCATAGTGAGACTCTTTCAATAAATGAAAAAAATAATTAATAATAATATAGGGAAGTAGGAAGGGGCCAAAGGATGCTTCTAAGAGTCAAATAGCAGAGCCCTCCCAACATGCCAAACTTACAGATCACTACTGCACCAGTGTAAAAGTGTTCTTAGATTTTTTCAGTGTCCACTTATTGTCTTATGATGTCTTTGTGTTACACTCTCTGTTTAATCTTTTTTTTTTTTGGTACCAGGGATCAAACTCGGGACCTTGCACTTGCGAGGAAGACGGCTCTGAGCTAAATCCCCAGCTCTCTCTTTAATCTTTGCAAAGCCTACAATTTAGGAACATTGACACCAAGAGATGGTAATGTGTACTTTTATTCAAACATCAGGACAAATAGGCTGGCTCACTTAAAAGGTGAACAAACTTTTACTACCTTCATTTACTAAACCTTTTAAATTTCTACTTCCTAGATACAATTTTATACCTCTCATTAATTTTTCATTTCTTTCCTTTTTACCAAGTTTCCCTATGCAAACAAATAAAAACAGAACCCCTTCTAGATATCTATACTTTTCTCATGGAGTACCTTGGGCTGCTGATCTATGTCTCAAATATAGTTCTACTCACAGAATCCTTGGGCTATACAATTGTGCTATAGTCAATTCTGCTTCCCAACTTTAATCATGACAAAGAAAATGTTGTAAAAGGACATTCAAATCCTCCCTTTCTTCCCCATCAAGATGAGAGAGGGAGAGGGAGAGAGGGAGAGAGAGAGAGAGAGAGAGAGAGAGAGAGAGAGAGAGAGAAGGGAGATCCTGCTGACAGAAAAAATACATAGGGAATATATAACTCTAAATTGGAACCTAAATAAGAAATGAACTTTCCCACATAATTCTTTCTCCTGGACAAGCTTCATTGCAAATGTAAGAAAAAATAATTTTATAAAGGATAGAATACACGTATTTAAGCATAATCACTACCAAAATAACCCCATTTTATGTAAATAATTTGAAAATTTGGCCAGGCATGGTGGCACATGCCTGTACTCCCAGCATTTGGGAAGCTGAAACAGGAGGATCACTGTGCGCTCAAGGCCAGCTTGGGATACATAGCAAGATCATGTCTCAAAAAAAAAAAAAAAAATGATCGTGTCTCAAAAAAAAATCGTGTCTCAAAAAAAAAAATGTTTAGACAAGTTTACCGACCTATTTGAACATGATCCAAGAATACTTAATTTTGCAGTCAATTCAGACAGTGCCTCCAGTCTATCCAATCAACAGATATTTAGTGGATGATTCCCATACCCAAAGACCATTCTAGTCTAACCAAATTGCTTCTCAAGAGCCAGTTTTATACCACTTACTTCACAAGCCACTTGTGCCTGTTTTAGACCTCACTGATCTCCCTCACATCTAACTTGCCGGAACACTTACAAAACTGTAGACTCGCAAGTACAAGGTCCTGAGTTCGATCCCTGGCACCAAAAAAACCAAAAAAACAGAAAACAAAACTCAGAGAGCACTCAGATCCTGTTTTGTTTTGGTTTGATTGTCATTTGTATCAATCTTTTGTCCCCAAGCATATGAGAGAACCTTTCACTACACCACACATCTGTCTGTATACTCACACTATCTAACACCAACCTAAGCACAGAATACACCCTAAAACTGAACAAGTTAGCTGGGAGCATAATAGTTTTTGAACCAAGAATGACAACTTAATACTAAACAGACACACCCAAACCAACCAAGTGTACTGAAATATGATTTGGTGGTGCACTGACAGGTAGTAATAATACATTGATGTTCTTTTCCTTTAATAGTTCTATTTTTCATTTGTGCATTATTCTTTACTTGTGCCAGCAATATTTGTATCCAATTTTAACTTACATTTTCTCAAGTATTAAAGTTTAAACATGAAAAAAAATTGTTCTATTTTTGACATCTGATGAGAGAAATTCAAAGAAAGCCTATGGGATGTCAAGACAAGGCAAAACTCTAAGTAAGGAAATAAATCCAACAGATGAAGTTGATTTCAAGCAAAATCAGAGAATCAAAATTCCTCTTCTATGCTAAGCAGGAATAGTTTGGGGGAGCCTTGGCTACTGAACCTCTAAAAAATTGTGAAATTTGTGAAAAAAACATCATTTATCAACAAAACAGTGGGAGGGTGAGGCAAGAAAATCACAAGTTCAGGGCTGGCCTGGGCAACTCAAGTGATTTAGTGAGATACAATTTTGAAATAAAATTTAAAATGGTGGGGGGTGGCTCAGTTCAAAGGCTCTGGGTTCAATGCCCACTACAAACACACACAAACAAAACAAAAACAAAACAGAAAAAAATAATTAGAAAAAGAAAAATAGGGGACAAACCAATCATGCAATATTATATAACCTGGTTTTCCTTCCTTCTCCAATCCATAAATGTTCTAAGTAACTTACAAAGGCGAAAACAGCTAGTGATTCGATACAAAGGGTGAGGCGTAGGCAAACACGGGTAACATAAAATTACCTTTAATTCCAAATAGAAAACAATTCCAAGTAGAATTAAAGTCTCTCTCAATTATAGTCTCGCACCATCTAATTTAACTTTCTATCTTACACAGCAGTTTTAAAATGTAGTTGTTTGTGACCACATCTGTTTTCTTTTATTTATTTATTTATTTATTTATTTTTGGTACCGGGGATTGAACTCGGGTCCTTGAGCTTGCGCAGCAGGCAGCGAAACCACTGAGCTAAATCCCGGCCCCTCCACATCTGTTTTCTGCTACCAAAGGCCACACTTCTTGCGGGCAGGGCTATTTCACTCATTTGTAGAAATTTATCCAGTGTGGGCCTCGATCTCCTTCTCTGCAAAGTGGTGCTAAGGGTAATACCTAATTCAGTGGTTTGATGCGAAAATTAAGTGGGAACGCGTAGCAGACTGCTTCGTCCAGTAAATGCTTAACAATTAAGCATTAACTTAATTGGCATAACAATTATCATTACCGTTATTTTCGGCCAACTGTCTCCAGCAACTCCTTTTCCTCTATTTCCCGGACAGGCTTCAATGCAAAGACCTTTCGCGAAGACAAGGGAGGCCCGAAGCCCTGCGCCAACCCTGCCCCGCCTAGGCGGCACCCCAGTCCAGCAACGGCCTAGAGGCCGAGTCTAGGGGTGCTGATGGCCCTGAGGGTTGGAAACCGACCGCTAGACGTCTGAAAATCAGGGAGAGAAGAACCCTGAGCCCCAACTGCCCTCGCTTCTACCCACAGCTCACCTTGCCTCGCTTCGGCTCAGCTCTGACGACGAAACGCCACAAGCTCACCGCGGTACTCATTCAGTACCGTTGAAAATTTGAACCAAGGCAGTCTAGTCTAATGCACCAATCAGAGCGTCAAGAATGATCAATTCTGGCCTCCTGATTGGATCATGCAACGCAGCGACGCCGGAAGTCAGGGGGCGGGCCAGCAAACAAACGGCCCAGAGGCTTCTGGGAAATATAGTCTCCTGCTCCGATATGACCTGGTTGAAACAACTCTTGTGAGTACGTAACTACAAAACCCAGAGTGCACTGCTCCTATTTAGGAAAGGTGATACCACTTGATGTAGAGAGTCCATTTAGCATCCTGGACCTGCACGAAGGTATTCAGAGCAGAAAACTTTTTTATTATGAAATTTTAAATTATCTTTGCTGTGTTGGTACTTTGTGTCCTGAATATTTGTAGGAATTCATTTTATCAGGCAGTCTCCTACCTGCAATATAGACGCGACCCCAGCTTCCCTCCTGTTGGTGTAGGCGACTGACAACACACTGCAGTCTCTGTCTACGTCTTAACTGGCTCAGAGGCATGCTTTTTTGGATGTTATGTCCGACTACATCCCGCCCTTTATTATTCCTGTGTTGTAAAAATGAAAATAAGGGCCGGGGATTTAGCTTAGTGGTTTCACCGCTTGCTGTGCAAGCACAAGGACCTGAGTTCGATCCCCGGTACCGAAAAAAAAAAATGAAAACGAAAGCTCAGAAAAGTTGGATAAACTTGTTTCAAAAAAAAAAAAACTTGCTTCAAATCACATAAGTGAGAAGACGGGATCTGATTGATGTTCTTTTTATGCATCATCAATCAGAACATAATAGCAACGAAAACAAAAGGACTTCGTTTATAATAGCAACAAAAATTCAAAATTTTAAAAATTAAACTTAATACTTTCATAGAAGGACTAGTGATTTTAGCTCAGTGGGGTCGCTCCTGCCTCGCAAGCCCAAAGTCCCGAGTTCAATCCCTGGTACTGGAAAAAAAAAAATAGTGATAACTTTAATGGAAAACACTTCATTGAATAGCAATTTACAAATTAAACGAGGTTATATAATTCTAAAGATGTTAATTCTACAAATTAAAAGTTCGAAGTAATTCTAATGAAAATCCAAATACGTTTTTGTCATAAACTTGCCATGTTGATTCTAAAATAAATTCATACCGAAGAGGAAAAGCACAAGATGTGTCTGAATTTTGAAATAATAGAGGGTGTTAAATTAAGTGTGGTTGAGAGTGCCTTAGCATTGAGGTCCTTACATAAGAAACTACAACCTCAGTAGTAGGTAAACTAAGTGAAAGCCCTAATTTAGGGGTATATTGCGTTATTGTGACAAATAACTGAGCCTATATGCAGCAAAATAATGAGCTACTAACAAGCTGTCTGTACTTCACTTCAGTTTTCTGTTCATAAATGCTGCCTGACCATGATGCACGCCAAAGTTCTTAGAATCCACTCCAATAAGGAAGGGAGTATAGCTGGGTTGCAGAGCAGGTAACTAGCAGGTAACTAGCACATCACACACACACACACACCACCCAGGTAGAAAAGTAGAATCACTTTCTCTGGCTCTAAAGGCTCTCCCATTCAAGTATTGCTTTTTGCTCAATTAAACTTTTTTTTTTTGGTACTGGGGATCAAACTCAGGACCTTGTGCTTTCGAGACAGGCAGCGGCATCACTGAGCTAAATCCCCAGCCCTAAACTCTTAAATTTGTCTAAGGTCTTTCTCTCTCTCTCTCTCTGTCTTGTATGGGAGGTTAAACCTTTGCACTGCTCTACATCTCTAGCCCTTTTAAAAAATGCTTTATTGCTTTGTTGCTTTTTCTAACTTCTGCCTGTCTGCAATGCCACCCTACCTTGGAACCAGCCAACTATGGATTGAAACCTCTACAAACTAAGAGATTAGAATTTGAATCAACAGACTGAGTAAAAAAGAAAAAAATGCTTTCATCAGTGTGAGTGGACACCACCCAATCCTTCCAGGACCCTAACTAAACAACAAAAACAACCAAAAAAAAAAAAAAAAAAGAGGAAGAACAAATTCTCTCTCTGTTTAAGGGGAAGCATCCATCTTCTTTTACCTTCCCGAGTCTTGAACCTTCACATTCAGTCTAGGACTTACACCACTGGCTCCTCTGGTTCTCAGGCCTTCAAGTTTGGACAGAACCACCAGCATCTTGATTCTCCAGTTTAAGGACACCAAAACATGAACTTGTCAGCCTCCATAATTATATGAGTCAATCCTTCATAATAAATCTATATCACTAGATTTTAAAAAAATAAAATATAATAAAAAATGTTTTATTGAGGCTGTCATGTCTCTTCATAGTAGGCTACCCTACTCTGTAGTGTATATTTTTTAATTTTTTTCTCCTTTTTTCCTACTTAGCCCAAACTCATTCTCAGAGCTTGTTTTTTCCTACATTCATTCATTCCTTTATTTATTTATTTTGGTTTTATTTTTTGTTTTTGTTTTTTGGTACTGGGGATCGAACTCCGGACCCTGTGCTTTCGAGGCAGGCAGCAGCACCACTGAGCTAAATCCCTGGCCCCTTATTTTGGTTTTTTGAAACAGAGTCTCCATATGTGGTTCAGGCTGGCCCAACAGTGATCCTCCCGTCTCAGCCTCCCAAGTGCTGGGATTACAGGTATATGCCATCATGCTCGGCTCCTACTTTTAATCAATGTAAAACTGCCACCGTTAAAAAAATGTTTTATTTTAAGATAGGGTCTCACTGAGTTGCTAAATTGCCCAGGGTTGGCTCCAACTTTCAGTTTTCCTGCCTCAGCTTCCCAGAGTGCTAGGATGACAGGTGAAACCATGCCCAGCTATGGACATTCCTTTTTTTTTTTTTTGGACATTCCTTTTAATTGAGAGGACTGACATGTTACATTTTATACATATTAACATGTGAAATTATAGTAATTTTTAAAGTATAGTTTGGGTCATTCACACTATGGTGGTATAATCAACAAAATCCAGACAAGAAAATGCTATAGATGAAAGATCTAAATTTCTTAAAAAAATAAAGTGCTAGGGGTTTGTTCTTTAAGCATCTTTGTGTTGTAGAGATAACATCAAAATGGTGGGGGTGAGGGCCGGGGATTTAGCTCAGCGGTTCCGGCGCCTGCCTCGAAAGCGCAAGGTCCCAAGTTCGATCGCAGGTACCAAAAAAAAAAAAAATGGTGGGGGTGAAAAAAATGTTGGGGATGAAATGACTCTAGCACTTGCCTCAGAATAATTAGGAGTATGTAGTGAAGGAAAGTAGGTGGACCTGTAGATGAAATAAGATTAGTCACAAATTGATAAAAATTTCCACAATTAAAGCTGGGTGTGGTGGTGCACACCTGTAATCCCAGCGCTCTGGAGGCTGAGGCAAAAAATTGCTGAGAAGTTCAAGGCCAGCCCCGGCTACATAGTGAGTTCAAGGCCAGCCTGGAATACATAGCAACACCTTGTCTCAAAAAACAATAACAAGGGCTAGGGATTTAGCTCAGTGGTTCCGGTGCCTGCCTCGAAAGCACAAGGACCGAGTTCAATCCCCGGTACCAAAAAAAAAAAAAAAAAAAAGAATGCACCACATAAAATTACATAAAATGGGAGGAGAGGGATTGAAAATGATCAAGATACTATATATATATATATATAGAGAGAGAGAGAGAGAGAGAGAGAGAGAGAGCGAGAGAGAGAGAAAGAGTACCAATTCCCCAAAATGAATGTAATTATTATATATCACACAGAGGGCTGGGGATTTAGCTCAGTGGTTTTGCCACCTGCTGTGCAAGCACAAGGACCTGAGTTCGATCCCCGGTACCAAAAAAATATAGGAATATATCACAGACATATGCCAATAAAAATTGAATAGAAAGGAACACTAAACAGCAGTTAAAGACTTCTGAAAAAAAAGACTTCTGTGCACTTAGGCTGACATGGAGGTATCTTTGAGACATTTTTTTTCAGTGCTGGGGATGAAAGCCATTGCCTCTGTGCATGCTAGACAAGTGATCCACTACTGACTTACACCCCCAGCCCTTGAGGTACATTTTTGAGTTAACAAAATGAATTGATTAATACAGATTCATGTTTGCCGGGTTGCTGGAAAGGTTGCACATAGGGCACAGATGAGGAGATGCACAGGGTGAGGTGCAGAGGAGGGTGTGTGAACTTCCATACACTCTCCAGGAACCAGCATGTGTTTAGCCATCCAGCAGCTCTCTGAGACTTGTTTTTTGGGGGAGTTTTAAGAAAGCTTCATTACATAGGCATGGTTGATTAAATCATTAACCATTAGTGATCAACCTAACTTTCAGCCCCTCCCTCCTGAGGGTGGCGTGGGGAGTGACCCCAACCCTGTAATCCTGCCACTGTGACAGCCCTAACCCCAAAGTTACCTAGGGGCTACCAGCTATTAGTCAGCTCATTAGCCTAAAGGAGGACACCACTTTGAATGAAGAGTCGAAGGACCTTAGATCTCCTTTAGGGAACAGAGATGAAGACCAAATGTATGTTCACAATATGACAAACCCAGGTCTCTGAAGAGAGTTTATCTGATCTCTGCTGGGCTCCCAAAGGACACATAGACTTTCATAATGCTGCTATTTTGTTTGTTTGTTTCTCTCTCTTTTTTTTTTTGGTATTGGGGATTGAACTCGGGTCCTTGTGCTTGCGAGGCAGGTGGCAGAACCACTGAGCTAAATCCCTGGCCCTATTTGTTTCTGGGTTTTTTTTGTTTTGTTTTGTTTTGTTATTTTTTGTACTGGGGATCGAATGTTTGTTTCTTTTTTGAGACAGGGTCTCACTATATAGTTCAGGCTGGCCTTCAACTCACTATGTAGGCCAGGCTGGCCTCGAACTCGGTGAACCTACTGCCTCTGCCTCCTGAGTGCTAGGATTACAGGCATGCACCAACATCCCTGGCTGCTACTTTTCATGTTTAAATAATTGTGACACCATAGGGCCTTAAAAATGTAAATCAGGGCAGGTCCTGTCTCACTTTAACCCCCTCCCAACAAAACAGTTGCAGTTTCCCTGCCTTGCCCCTCTTCAATTTTGAGGAACAAATCCAAGACCTTATGCATGATAGGCAAGTGCTCTACCTCTGAGCTCTAAACTCAGCCTATAGAAAATGAACATTCAGAAATTGGCTGGTCATGGTGGTGCATGCCTATAATCCCAGCACTTGGGAGGCTGAGACAGAAGGATCACCGAGAGTTCAAGACCAAGCTGGGCTATATAGTGAGTTCAGGACCAGCCTGAACTACATAGCAAGACCCTGTCTCAAAACAAAACAAAACAAATTGGCCCAATATACTTAGGAATGTAGTGTCTAATAATGGAGACATTTTAAGACAGTAGGGAAATGACAGTATACACAACTGTAGTGTTATTTGGAAAAAAAATTTTAATTCTTCACATTTTATACCAAAGTGAATTCATGGTGAATTTAAAGGTAAAATATGAAGCCATGTAAAAACTGGAAGAAAACAAGAAGTGTTTTTATAATATTGAACTGGAGAAAGTTTCTTTTTATGAATGACAAAGCTGGCTATGATGGTGCATTTCTGGGAACAAGGTGGAGTGGTGAACAGCAGAGAAACAGCCTCTCTGAGATTTGTTATCCAGACGCTGGAATATAGCAACGTGAGGGAGAGAAGGAGGTAAGTGGGTCCCCAGAACCCAGCAAGGATCTGCAGTGAAAATTGAGGCCCACGGGGAGAGCAAGGAGAGAGATTTCAATGAAGAAGAAGGAAGTTGCAAGTGGTGCTTTCTCCCTGAACCCTGACTCACTGTGTGGAAAGGGCAGCTCAAACCTGCAGACACATGATGACTACTGGTGACCCTAGAGGTCTCCACAGAGAAATTCACCAGTGAAATGGAGCAGTGGATGCAGTAGACTGCAGTGGCTGATGAGTTATTGAGGTTCAGATATCCCCCAGGAGAGGGCAATTGCCTGGTGGCCATCTTGGAGAGAGGACAACTGAGCTTGGAACTCAGAACAGTTGTTAGCTGGCTCCATCTAACAGCTCCCAGTGTCAGGTTGAGGTGGAACTGAGTTCAAATTGGCAGGAGGTCAAGGAGCCAAGTTCAAGCTTGCAGGAGGCACACAGAATGTTGCAGTCTGAACAAATCACGTTCCAGCCTCACAACCAGAAAATAGCCTGAACTTCAGTGGAACTAAAGGTGTGGGCTTGCTGGGATTTTCCACTGCCTCACTTTGAATCTACCACCAGCTAGGATTAATCAACATGGATCTGGGCTCTGTCTGCCCACTCTATCAATGACAGTAGAGGCACACCATGAAGTGGACATTTTTCTTCTTTTTTTTTTTCCTAGTTTTGTTTTTATTTTGTTTTATTTTCTATTTTCTTGATGGTTCATTCTTGTTTTTATAGGAGTGTGAACATTGTTTCTAGTTTTCTTGTTGTTATTCTTCTGTTCTACTCTTGCTTTTATTTCTTCCTTCTCTCTTTCCCTTCTGTCATCTTCATCAATTTCCCAAAGTTTGCATAATCTTTTGTCCTCTTGCCTTGCTTCTGATTGCCACTTCTTCTTCCTCTTCTCCTTCTCCTTCTTCCTCTTCTTCTTTTTCTCTATACAATTTTCAGGTTTGTTTTAGATTTTGTTATATAACAAATATAGTTCAGGGCCAGGGATTTAGTTCAGTGGTTCCGGTGCCTGCCTCACAAGCGCAAGGTCCTGAGTTTGATCCCTGGTACCAAAACAAAACAAAAAAAACAAATATAGTTCATACAGTTAAAGGTGGTAAATTAATATTTACCATGGTTTGTCATTTTCTATCCTATATTTGATGCTATTGGTATTGCTCATTGTACTACTTTAGCCAAGGTGACATAATTACTCTAATTATGTGAGGACAGAATATGAGATATAGAAGACTAGATTGCAGTTAGTGATAATGAAAAGAAAGATTTCTTAAAAATAGCAAGGGCCCATGAAAAATCAATACAACAACTGCTAAATGATGCAAAGAAGAATAACATAAGATTGATCAGAGTCACTGAAAAAGCAAGAGATAGTGCAAATGACATTTTAAAAAGCTATTCACAGAAGTAATGGCAGAAAACTTCCTAAGCAGAGAAAAAGAATTTGATATCATGTACAGGTGCAAATTCCTTATGATGAGTGTTATCATTATGTATATCTAAAATGTACCAATAAATGTTTTCCTTCAAAAAAAAAAAGAAAATCCTTTCCTATAAAACAAAACAAACAAACAAAACAAAACAAAATCCATCCTCAAGCCAGGGATTTAGCTCACTGGTACTGCTGCCTGCCTCACAAGCACAAGGTCCCAAGTTTGATCCCCGGTACAAAAATAAAATCCTAAGCCTACCCCTGAGCCAACCTGGGCAACTCAGTGAGAGACTCTGTTGCTAAATGAATGAATGAGTATATATATGGATATGGTTCAGTTCGAAGGCCCTGGTTTCAATCCTCAGGGCAACAAAACAAAGGGAAACAAACTGAAATAAACAATATATAGATAGATAGATAGATAGATAGATAGATAGATAGATAGATAGTTTTTTTTGGTGGAATATATTTTGGTGGAATGTATGTGTGTGTGTGTGTGTATATATATATATATATATATATATATATATTCCACCAAAAAAATGTATACATCCAGTGTGGCAGCACATGTCTATAATCTCAGCACTCAAGAAGCTGAGGCAGAAGGATTGCTGCAAGTTCAAGGCCAGCTTCAACTGCATAGTGAGTTCAAGGTCAGCCTGAAGTACATAGTGAGACTCTGTCCCCCCCACACATAATGTATACACACTTCAGCAGTTTGCCATACTAATAAATGTCTAGAAGCTAATCACCACCTTGGGCACCTCTTGTAATTATAGAGGCCAAAGGTAACTTGTATTAATCTCATGATGTCTAATAAATTTAGTATTAAAATATTTTTTAAAAGAATTTGACATACAGATAAGTGAGGCACATAGAACTCCAATTAGCCGTGATCAAAAAAAAACTACACCAAGGCACATAATAGTCAAGATTCCAGAAATTCAGCACAAGAACAGAATATTGTTTTTTGTTTGTTTGTTTTGTTTTTTTTTTTGGTACTGAGGATCAAACTCAAGACCTTGCACTTGTGAGGCAGGTGGCAGAACCACTGAGCTAAATCCCCAGCCCAAGAACAGAATATTAAAAACTATTAGAAAAAAGGAACAAATCACATATAAAAGAAAGTCCATCAGAATCACAGTAGAGGGCTGGGGATTTAGCTCAGTGGTGGTGTGCCTGCCTGGCAAGCCCAAGGTCCTGTGTTCAATTCCTGGAACTGGAAAAAAAAAGAGCATCACAGCAGACTTTTCCATGCAAACCCTCAAGTCAAGGAAAGCTTGGAGTGAAGTATTTCAAGCCCTAAAAGAAAATAACTTCCAACCCAAATTGATATCCCTGAAAAACTATCTTTCAAATTTGAAGGAGAATAAGACACTTCCTTGACAAAGAAAACTTGAAGAAATTCATGGCAACCAAACCAACTCTCCAAAGTGTTCTGAAGGACATTCTAGAAAGAGATAATGTGGACTACAACTCCATGAATCCCAACAGAATGAATCCATCAGGTAAGGCAAGTAATTAAACAGAGGTGGGGGAGAAAGAGGGGAACCAACAACAGAAACATAACAAGGATAAGTCAATACATATCAGTTATAACCATCAATGTAAATGGTCTCAATTCAACAATCAAAAGAAACAGAGTGGCAGAACAGATCAAGAAGCAAGTTCCAACAATATGCTCTATAGAAGAAACACATTTAATTCAAAAAGAAATTCATAGACTGAAAGTCAAAGGGTAGAAAACAATACTCTATGCAACAGGAACCCGGAGAAGAGCAGAGGTAGATATTCTATTTGCAGAACAAGTAAATTTCAAGCCAAGACTGATCAGAAGAAACAAAGAAGGTCACTGCATCCTTGAAAAGGGAACAATCCAAGAGGAAGAGATAACAATCATAAATATATATCCACCAAATGCCAGTGTACTCAACTATATAAAACAAATATTAACAGACATGAAAAATCAAGTAAACACTAATACAATTGTAATGGGGGACCTCAATACCTCACTATCACAAATAGACAGATCAACTAGATGAAAAATCAACAAAGAAATATCAGAACTGAACCAAACTTTTGAACAAATGGACTTAGTAGATGTCTACAGAGTGTTCTACCCCACAACATCAGAATACACATTCTTCTCAGCTGCACATAGGACTATCTTAAAAATTGACCACATACTAGCTCATAGAACATGCTTAAGTAAATACAAAGGAATCGAAACCATCCCATGTATATTATCAGACTATAGTGCAATGAAATTGGAAATCAATGGCAAAAGGAACCACCAGAATTTCATAAACACATGAAAATTAAATAATACTCTCCTGACAACCAATGGGTCACAGATGAAACTGAAGAAGAAATGAGACAGTTTCCTGCCGTGCTACCACAAGGTCCCAAGTTCAATCCCCAGTACTAAAAAAACAAAAAAACCCCGAAATTAGACAGTTTCTATAATTAAATGATAATGCCAATACAACATACTGGAACTTATAGGACATAATGAAAGCAGTCCTACACGGAAAATTATAGCAGTAAATTCCTATATAAGAAAAACAGAGCAAGCTCAAATAAAGAACCCAGAGTTGAGCCTCAACCTTCTAGAAAAAGAAGAGCAAATCAAGCCCATATCTTGTATGAAGGAGGAAATTATAAAGGTCAGAGCAGAAATTAATACAGTGGAGACTAATAAAAAAATACAAAGAATCAATGAATTGAAGAGTTGGTTCTTTGAAAGAATCAACAAAATTGACAAACCTTTGGCCAATCTTATCAAAAAAAGGAAAGACTTAAATCCATGCAATTAGGAATGAAAAGGCTGAAATCACAACAGATCCTACAGAAATCCAGAAGATTATCAATACCTACTTCAAGAATCTGTATTCTAATAAGATGGAAAGCACAGAAGAAATGGACAGATTCCTAGGCACATGTGAATTACCAAAGCTGAACAAAGATATAAAAATTCTAAAAAAACAATGTCAGTCAGTTGAAGATGTAACTGAAAACATACCAACAAAGAAAAGCCCAGGCCCTGATGTATTCACTGCTAAATTCTACAAGAAAATTAGAGAAGACCTAATGCTGCTACTTTTCAAACTCTTTAATGAAATTGAAAGGGAAGAAATACTCCCAAATTCATTCCTAGAAGTAAGAATTACCCTGATACCTAAATCAGAGAATGATCCAACCAAGAAAGAGAACTACAAGCCAATGTCCCTAATAAACATAGACTCAAAAATCCTCAATAAAATACTGGCAAACAGAATGCAGCAAATTATCAAGGTTATACACTGGCCAGGGATTTAGCTCAGTGGTGCCACCACCAGCCTGGCAAGTGCAAGGTCCCGAGCTCGATCCCCGGTACCAAAAAAAAAAACCCTAAAAAAAAAGATCCCTGGTACAAAAAAAGAGAAAGTTATACACCATGACCAAGTAGGATTCATCCCAGGGATGCAGGGATGGTTCAACATATACAAATCAATAAATGTAATACACCACATTAACAGAACAAAGGACAAAAGCCACATGATCATCTCGATAGATGCAGAAAAAGCATTTGACAAAGTCCAACATCCATTCATGATTAAAAAAAAACCTACAGAAAATTGGAAGAGAAGATCTTTACCTCAATAAAATCCATCTATGACAAACTAACAGCCAACATCATCTAAATGGACAAAAACTGAAAGCTTTCACTGTAAAATCAGGAGCAAGACAAGGATGTCCACTGTCACCACTCTTATTCAATGTAGTTCTGGACATTAGCCAGAGCAATGAGACAAGAAAAAGAAATAAAAGGAATAAGGATAAGAAACAAAGAAGTTAAACTATCATTAATTGTGGATGACATGGTACTCTACATAGAAGACCTCAAAAACTCCACCAGAAGACTTCTAGATTTAATAAGAAAATTCAGTAGTATACCTGGATACTAATTCAACACTCAAAAATCAATACCATTCCTGTATACAAATAACAAACTCACTAAGACAGAAATTAGCGAAAGAACACCTTTCACAATAGCATCTCCCAAAAATGAAACACCTAGGAATCAATCTAACAAAGGAAGTAAAAATCCTTTACATGGAAAACTATAGTATTCTGAAAAAAGAAATTGAAGAGGATATCAGAAAATAGGAAGACATCTTTTGTTTTTGGGTAGAAAGACTAAATATAGTAAAAATGGCCCTACTTCCAAAATTGTTATATAGATTTAATGTAATCCCAATCAAAATACCTATAGCAGGGCCGGAGATTTAGCTCAGTGGTTCCACCACCTGCTGCACAAGCCCAAGGACCCAAGTTCGATCCCCGGTACCAAAAAAAAAAAAAAAGAAAAGAAAATACCAATAGCATTTCTCACAGAATTAGATAAAACAATTCTAAAATTTATTTGGAACCAGAAGAGACCTAGAGAATTGCAAAAGCAGTTCTGGGCAACAAAGGGAAGGCAGTGGGCATCACAATCCCTGACTTAAAATTATACTACAAAGCTACTGTGATAAAAACAGCATGGTACTGGCAAAAGAACAGACCCAAGGATCAATGAAACAGATTAGAGGATGCAGAACAACTAAAGACATAATCAGCCACCTTATCTTTGACAAAGGAGCCAAACACTGGAAGAAAGACAGTTTCTTTAATAAATGGTGCTGGAAAAACTGGCTTTCCACGTGCTAAAAATTGAAAGTAGATCCATATCTCTCACCGTACACTAACCTAAAATCAAAGTGGATCAAAGATTTGAATGTTAAAACAGAAACACTAAATCCACTGGAAGATAGAATAGGTAGACATTGAAGACATTGATACAGGAAAAAACTATGAACAAAACCTGGACTACACAGGAAATATCACAAAGATCAACAACTTGGATCTCATCTTATTAAAAAGCTTTTGCACAACAAAAGTAACGACCAACAGGGGCTGGGGATTTAGCTCAGTGGTTCCGCCACCTGCCTCGCAAGTGCAAGGTCCTGAGTTCAGTCCCCGGTACCAAAAAAAAGGGCATCTGACATGAATAGACACTTCTCAGATGAAGTAGAAACAGCAAATAAATACATGAAAAAATGTTCATCCTCACTAGTCAGTGGAGAGATGCAAATTAAAACAAAACTGAGATTCTATCTCACTCCAGAAGGAAAGGCTGCTATCAAGAAATCAACCAATAACAAATGATGGTGGGGCTGTGGGAAAAAAGGAACACTTCTCCAGTGTTGGTGGGAGTGTAAACTGGTCCAACCACTGTGGAAATCAGTGTGAAGATTTCTCACAAACTAAAACTAGAGGTTCCATTTGACCCAGTTATACCTCTTCTTGGTATCTTCCTGAAAAAAGTAAAAGCATCATACCACAGCAATATATGCACATCCATGTTTACAGTGGCACAATTTGTAATTGCTGAAGGTTGGAAACAGCCCAAATGCACATCAACTGATGAATGGATAAAGAAAATGTGGGTTTTTTTTTTAATACATAACAGAGTACTATATCCATAAAAAGGACAAGCATGGGACAATTCTAGCTAAATAGATGCACCTTGAGACCGTGCTTTTAAGTGAAATAAATTGGACAAACATGTTTAAATACCACATTGTTTTCCTGGTGTGAGAAACCAAAAGTGGAAATAAGAATAAAAATGTGTAATAGATATTGGGAAATGGGAAGAAAATGTTCAAATGAGAAGAGGAACAAGGAGGGGGAGGGGAAGAGAAGGAAGGGGAAAGGAAAAAAGAGAATAGAATGGAAAAAATGGAAACAAAACTTTTGTAAATAAGGAGATGAGGAGGGGTTGAAGAAGCGGAGGGGATTGGGAAAAAAGAAGAATCAGAATATATCATGTACAGGTACAAATTCCCTATATGTTATCATTACAAATATCTAAAAATGTACCAATAAAGAAATACTCTTTGCAAAATAAATGAATACTGATGGTTAGAACTGAAAAAAAAAAAATCCTAGCACCTCATAGGCTGAGGCAGAAGGATCATTTCAAAGCCAGCCTGAATCTACCTCAAAAAACAAAACAAAAGGGCCAGGATTTAGCTCAGTGATTCTGCTGCCTGCCTTGCAAGTGCAAGGTCCTGAGTTGGATCCCTGATACCAAAAAAACCCAAAACAAAAACGTATGACAGAAAGTGGAAGCCATAGAAGAAAAGATTAATAAGTTAATATATATACAAAATAAGTTTTCCATAGTAGTAAATACTTCCGATTTATATGTAGTAAAATATAAATGACAAAGAGTTCAACAGAAAATCCATCTAAAAACAGAGCAAATAGTATAAATAGAATTCACCAAAATAAGACATCCCCCCAGAGATTAAAAAGTATGATAAACTGGTCAATTTCAGCTGGGTGTAGTGACACAGGCTTGTGATTCTATACTTCTGGGAGGCTAAGGCAAGAGAATCAGAATTTTGAGCCCACCCGGGACAAGTTGGTTACTTAGTATGATTCTATCTCAAAAGTGAGATAGATAGACAGAGCTCAGCACAAAGCCCCTGGGTTCAATCCTCAGTACCACAAGAATAACAATAAACAAAACAAGACAAAAACAGGCCTGGTGTGGTGCCACACACCTATAATCCCAATACTTCAGAGGCTGAGGCAGGAGGATTACCTTGAATTTGAGGCCAGTCTGGCCTACATAGTGAGTTCAAGCCCAGCCTGAACTATAGAGTGAGACCTTGTCTCAAAAAGAAAAAAAAAAAAGGCTTTTGGTTTTCACCTATTTGGCAAGGATAAAAATGGGTAGTTCAGGATGTGGGGAAAGAAGCACCCTAATAATTTATTGATCGGAAGATAAAACAGTACAATTGCTATATGGAGTATCTTGCCAAGATTGATTAATATCAGACAAACAATTTTATATATTCATTTACAGGGATTCCACTTCCAGGGATTTTTGTTTTAAAGATAAATTCCCACATAGGCAGAACAGTGAACAGAGAAGTTATAGCACTATTTATTTATTTAATCATTTTTGGTACCAGGGATTGAACTGTGGTCCATGGGTCCTTGTGCTTGTGTAGCAGGCAGCGAAACCACTGAGCTAAATCCCCAGCCCTATAACACTATTTAGAATACAAAGATTGAGAATAACCTAAATGTTCTCAAACAGCAGAATGGGCAATTAAATTATGGCCTGTCCTTATAATTTGTTTGTTTGTTTTTTGAGACAGGGTCTCACTATGCAGTCCAAATTGGCCTTGAACTCACTATGCAGCCCAGGCTGGCCTCCAACTCATGGTAATCCTCCTGCCTGAGCCTCCCAAATTCTGGGATTTGAGGCATGTGCCACCACACCCAGCTCTTCCTTCCTTGAAACAGAATCTCATTCTATAACTCAGGCAGACCTCAAACTGCAGTTTGAGATCCTCCAGACTCAGTCTTCTGTGTGGTAGGACTGTACGTCTGTGCCACCACATCCCACTGCCATGTTGCTTCTCTTTCAGTTGCTGAAACATGCCAACATCTTCCTAACTCAGGGCATTTGCACACACTCTTCCCTTTGCCTAGGTTGATGTAGTCTAGGTTCTTCTCATAGGTTGACACTTTAAACCTTGGTTCTAATATTGAGATAGGTGAGTAGGGCGTGGCAAAACTGGCTGGGGAAGTAGGTGTAACTTGTTAATTACAAGATTCAGGACACATGCGCAGAACAGTTCCCAAAGCCCTGCACAAGGACTTCTCCTGAGAACTCCAGCAGGTTTTCAATAGAATGGCCTAGACCTGACAGCCTGAGGCATGGGATCCCAGCATCACCTGTCAGGACCTGGATGTAAAGTACTCTGGAGTTTCCTCAAGGTTTGGACAGCATAAAAGAAAGGCAGCCACGGAGAGTGGTACTATCACAGCTTTCCATGACAGCCTATGCTGTTTTCCAGACAGAGGGTGTACTTTTATCTTTCCTCGGCCCAAGCTCGCTCTGCAGAGCCAGTTTCTCTCCTACTCTTCACCTTTACTTTCTCAAATGAACTTTGCCACAGCCTTTTGCTTGTTTCATCCAATTCTTTGATTAAGATGAGAAGAACCTGGAGAGGTTCTTCCAAGAGAGGCGAGCAACCCAAACCCAATAACATTTAGTTGATGAGTCACGTTTTTAGAAACAAGCTACCTGATAACACTATCATCTCTTCAAAGAGTCCAGCCCTGGCCACCCTTCATGAAAATTGTTGAGTAAATGCCTCTCTGCCTCATTGGCCAGGGAGAGTAGGACTTACATGTTTGACCACCCAGTCTAAAGCAGTATCTTTCCCTGCACCATCTTCCTCACAATATCCTGACTTTCTGCATGGCACTGGTCACTTTGCGATCACCTTGTTTATGTATTGTCTCTCTACAGATCTAGGGTAACAATCCTCATGAAAGCAGAGACTGTGTCTTAATTCTAACTCTATCTTCAGCAACCCAAATAATAAACTTCCTGTGCGTTTGTCTTAAGTGGTAATAGGGATTGATCCCTGGGCCTCTTGCATGCTAGGTAAGCACACTACCACAGAGCCATACTCCCAGCCCCCAAACAATAAACATTTGTCGAACGAATTTATGCAACACAGAACTATGGACCAGACACTATTCCACGAACTTCGCAAATAACAGCTTTTCTGATCTTCACACTCAATGAAAGGTTGGTACTATTACCCATTTTACAGTTGATGAGATGAAGGCACGTAGCAACTGAGAAACCTGGCTAATCAGCAGAGTTGGCCTCCAGAGAGAAAGTAGCTAATTACAACGGGACGCTTTTCTATTACAAACCGGTGGAAGGATGAAATTGAATGTATGGATGGAAATCTAATGCAAACGTTAATTCTTTGAGACTCCGGATTCCCCAGGCCTCCCGCAAGGGGGCGCTCTCTCCAAGGATTTGACGCCACTCCAGGCGCGCACTCCCTTTGCGTCTCGGGCTCGCGCGCGCTGCCGCGGCACCGGAAGTGACTGAGCTTGCAAGTTCCCCCGGTCTCTTCAGGGGAAACTGAGGCCGGTGTGTTCGGGAGAGACGGCGCGAACAGTCAGCCAGGTAGGCCTGCCAGAGTCTGCGACGCGGAACTCGGCCGCGAAGAACCCTCGCATCTGGAAACCACCGGGCCGATGAAGGGGGATGTTGCCCCCCACGGCTTGCTGGGCTTGCAGGTGAGAGCGCCGCCTCCCCTGTGTGTGACAGACGCTGCACCCAATGGGAACCTTCGCCGTCCCGCTTCCGTGCCAACTGGAGTCACGGATTGGCTACACGGGGTTAGGCCGCCGAGGGCGAAACCCCTCCTTCCAGAAAGGGCTCGGGGGCGCCCCGAGGGAGGGCGGTTGCCTAGCAACTGGGCGGTGGCTCGGCGGGTACCCGGCCTAGAGAGCGCGAGAAGCTGTGAGGCCGTGGCCCACCCACCCCGGGCTCCAGAGAGGTGCAGCCCCCAGTCCTTGAGCCCAACCTGGGGCTCTAGGAAGTCGCCGTCAATCGCCCAGGAAAACGTGGTCTCAGCTGTAGGGAGCCTCGAGCAGGCCTCAGCCCCTCTTCCTGACCTGAGGAAAGGCCCAGCGCCTCCCCTTCACCCGGTCTTTGTGCAGGGCGCCGGCAGCCATTGTGTCCGGGCGGGGAATGGAGGACCTGGCAATCCCCCACTGCCACGTCCAGGGCCTTTGGGGAATTCAAAGAAAGTCAGCGGCGTTTGTGGGGGGTCCCCGGCCTTCAGCCTCCCGGAAAGGCCTGAGGGCGGCCTTTCCGAAGTCAAGTCGCGGATCCGAGGCAGTCTCTCCTTCCCTGTGTCCCTCGTCGAAACCTTGAGATCACTGAGAAGTCCCTTCAGGGTTTCGGAAGCCTCACCCAAGGCTGATACTTAAATAGAAAAAAAAAAAAAAAAAAAATCCCTGCACTAAATCCTCACCAGCCACCTCAGGGAGAGTTCTCCTCGGCTCCCAGTAGGAGGCGGAGAGCCAAGGGGCGTGCGAGAGCGAGGGGGCTGGGCTCCTGGGTGGCTGGAGGCCGCGGCTGCAGCGCGGAGAGCCCGACCTCGATCCGGCGATGGAGAAAGCAAGCAAGGGGGCAGGTTCCTGAGCTTCGCAATTCCTGTGTCGCTTTCTGGGCTCTCAGCCTACTGGGTCGCATGATCCCTCCGGCTGGAGCTGGTTTTTTTGCCAGCCGCCGCGAGGCCGGCTGAGTTACCGGCTACGGGGCCGTCACCTCCTCTCCCGACCTATGATACAAAAGATCTTCCGGGGGCTGCACCTGCCTGCTGTCGCCTAAGACGGATTTGAATGTAGGTGGTGTGGGGTCGAGGGAGGGGGACTGCCCATCGTGGTGACTTTCCGACGAAGGCATTTTGGAGAAAAGGGGGTGGTTGTGGTAAAAGAGGCGGATGAGATGATTCAGAACACACTTGTCCTTTCAATTTGACTTCATTGAAGTCTCTTCGAACCTGGACCCAGACCGTCGTAAGCACCACAAAGAAACCAGTTTCTGGTACCTGGAGGGGGAATGGGATGTTGTAGGGTAATTGACATGCATATTAATTTTTTTTCCTGAAGCTCTTTCTCTCTCTTCAGAACCTTATTTTGGCTTTGGATCTTAGAAGAGAATCACTAAGCCGAGACCAGACTCAGTGAGTGAGCAGGTGTTTTGGACAATGGACTGGTTGAGCCCATCTCTATTATAAAAATGTCTCAGAGCAACTGGGAGCTGGTGGTTGACTTTCTCTCCTACAAGCTTTCCCAGAAAGGATACAGCTGGAGTCAGTTCAGTGATGTGGAAGAGAGCAGGACTGAAGCCCCAGAAGGGACTGAATCAGAGATGGAGACCCCCAGTGCCATCAGTGGCAACCCATCCTGGCACCTGGCGGATAGCCCCACGGTGAACGGGGCAACTGGCCACAGCAGCAGTTTGGATGCCCGGGAGGTGATCCCCATGGCAGCAGTGAAGCAGGCTCTGAGGGAAGCAGGTGACGAGTTTGAACTTCGGTACCGGCGGGCATTCAGTGACCTAACATCTCAGCTCCACATCACCCCAGGGACAGCATATCAGAGCTTTGAACAGGTAGTGAATGAACTCTTCCGGGATGGGGTAAACTGGGGTCGCATTGTGGCCTTTTTCTCCTTCGGCGGGGCATTGTGCGTGGAGAGCGTAGACAAGGAGATGCAGGTATTGGTGAGGCGGATCGCAAGCTGGATGGCCACTTACCTGAATGACCACCTAGAGCCTTGGATCCAGGAGAACGGAGGCTGGGTAAGAACCACACCCCTTACATGTCCCTTTTCTTTGCAATCCCCACCAGCCCTTGCCCTGTATCTCTTTCTGTTGTTGGGGATGTTGATTGTTAAGGAGACCTGTCTGGCCACATTTCACCATAGGAGGTCAACTCTTTGGAAATAAGGATGAGCCAGTTCTTAATGGACTCCTATCTTTGCGTTCCGATCACTTTCATGACCCTACTCTTTTCTACTTGTGTTCCAGTTTCTCAGCAAAGAAAAACATAGCCTATGTGCTCGTTTGACTCAAAACCTTTGAGAATAGGAAGTTGTTCCAGTGCTTCCCTCACCCTGACACAGTGGTGAGACTCAGTGGTGACACTCAGAGTGGTGATGAACATAATTCCTGGAGAAGCTGATGACCCACTGTCCCCTTTCTCCTTTCTCCTGCAGGGGTGTCAATCCTATTCTGGCTTCCCTTCCCCAAATCAAGTTTCATTTATTTTGGTTTGTGTGCATGGAACTCCTCTCAGACCATTTGGCTAGGCAGGAGTTCCCACTGGTTTGGATGGCTGAGGATTGTCTGATTTTAGGGCAGTACAGGCTGTGCTAGTTGTCTTTGTGCTGTTTCTCCCAAATTCATTTTCCCCAAAGTGTGCAACTTTCTTCGTGGCTGGCCTGTTTGTGGAGCTCTTGCTATCTCACACACCTTAAGCCCCGGGACTTTGCACCTCACTGCCTGGGGTCAGCTGGGGAGTCCCAGCTGCTCTGTCAGATACTCTCTGACAAGGAACTAGGGGCCTCTTCACCATGCACCGTTTGTTGTTGAAGCAAGAACCCTGTCTGTGAGGTGCTTAGTAGGACATTAGGATTTGGCCACAGACCCAACACAGGTGTAAGTCCTGGACCTGTCATTTAGTGTGACCTTGAACAGACTGGTTTACTTTCTTGAGCCTTAGTTTCTTCCACTAAAATGTGGCGTCCACTCCTTGCCTTGAGGAATATTTTGTAGTATTGTGAATCTTAGAGATAGGATGAACTTACTGACTGACACCAGCAAGTTCCTTTTCCTTGGAGGCAGAAGCCTTAGGATAAGCTGGAAGTGAGAGCTTTGTTGTCAGTGGTAACTGTGGGTAATTTTTACCCTTCTTCATTGAATTCTGTTCTAGTTCCTTGCTTGTCTCCCTGCCTAGGGGAGTTGTATGGCTTAGGAGAGGTATTCTGTCTCCTCAGAATAAGCAGAAGACCTGCAGCCTGTGGGAAATCAGTCATCTATTGCAGGAGCTGAGGTGGGAAAGGCCTTGCACCATGGACTCAGGAATGTCAGGAATGCAGTTGTCCATAGGTTGGGCCTAGGGTGTGGCAGGCACTTCACTTTACCACTGAGCCTGGGACCTCTTGGTTTTGCCTTGGAACCCACTCCTCTCAGTTCCCATTTCTTTACAACTTTATCAGCTGTTCCCCTCTACCAGTTCCTTTTTTTTTTTTTCCAAAATGTTTATTGTCTACCAGCTCTTGTAAAAGGCAAGGGGGTTGTCAGTGGAAGCCAGATGACTTGGTTGGAATTGGGGCTCTCTTGAGCTAAAGATGACCAGACTTGAAAGCCATACTGTAAATGAACTCCCTGGGGGGTGAAAGTATAATGATTGAATAGTTCCTGTTGGTTTGTGTGATGACCTGTTCTTTTCTCTTCTGCTTTAATTCTCTTTGGGGGCAAATATTTGTTCAGCTGATTACAGAGGGAACAAGATTCTAACACTGTAGACACACCCTCTGAAGCATCTCCAAGTAGGGACTTGGGCCCTTTGCCCAAGTGGTCCTAATTGTCTTTGGCCAGTGGTCCTAATAGCAGGTGAGTTGTTGCCAGCTGTAAACAAAAGGAAGTCTGGGAGAGGTGCCTGTTCTGCCAGCCACCCTCTGCAGAGGGCTATCCTGACCGGAGAATAGCCACCTGCCTGGTGTTGGATATAAAAGGGCTTAGATACAGCAGCTCTGGGCAAGTTCATTAGGTCTCTACTAGATTGAAATTTCATCTTCCATCTCTTTGCTCAAGAATTATCGGAGCCTGTTGGACAACATACCACATGTTACTTCCTCTTGGTGAACAGAGGGGATTTGTGCAGAATAGCCAGTTATGTCAGAACCATTTCTGGACATTCTTCCCCTGTAGCCAGGGGGTAAAGAACATTTGACTCAGAATCCTTTGAGCCTGCAGTATCTACCCACTTCCCTGTTAGGAGTGTCCCGTTCTGAGTTGTGTGGACTGGCTGCTGCAGTGGCATCTCATAATCATCCTGGAGGCTGCAGCTGGGAAATCCTTGAGTATAGGCATTTCAACCAGTCCTCCCATGGATATGCTGTAAATTTAGCAACCCTGCAGGAAAGGGGAAGGAAGTTAGCCTTTATTGAGTACCTTTTATGTTTTAGGCATTATGTTAGGTCCTTTATTTGTGCAACCAATGTATTGAGCATCTGCTGTAGAGCAGACATGGTATCTTCCTTCCATCATGGAAATGATAGCTCTTTCATGTATTCCACACATGAAGCTCCAGGTGGCAACGTGACTGACATCTGGTGTCTCTGTTAGCCAGTTAAGTGTCCAGGTGGCTCAGTGGTAAAGTGCTTGCCTACATGTGTGAAGTCTTGAGTTCAGTCCTTAAGAAAACTCCTTTGCAAAAAACAAAACCTAAGTCCTCACCAAACAGATGACAGTGGCATGCGTGCAGGGA